TGTGGAGCGAGGGGAACTGGATGAGTAAACAAAACTTATCCTGCTAGCAAGCTCTCCTATTTGGCCGAGCGAGCGGCGAAGTGTCAACAAGAAATTACACAACAACCAGGCAAATAAACGTACAAAGATCTTATTCATTACAGGACCATTATCAAAGGTAACAAAGCCCTGATCTTATCAGAAGAGCTAGCTAGGAAAGCGTGAATGAAAATTAACAAGCTAACAATTACAACAAGCTAAGAGTGCAAAAAGTTGAAGAGCACAATTTGAGGCAAGGTATAACAAAAGTGTGAACTGCTAAAACTAAAAATTAAAATGCGCTTGTTACACTCTACACACAACGAACTCACGCTTGCGAGGAAAAGCTGAGCGAATGCTGAAGTGGCCTTTGCCTCTAAGTTCTGTTGTATTTTCCAGGTGAGTTGGGCAGCTCCTGGGCGTTCAGTGTAACAGGATCACTGGAAGGACAACATTTCAAGAAAACTGGAAAACTCGTCTCTCTCAGCGAACAGAACCTTGAAGACTGCTCTGGATGTGTTAATCTAATTACAGCAATCGACTGCGGGTTTGAGTAAGTAAAAAATCATTTAAAAAGTTTGCTGTGATTTGACATTTCACAACGAGACGAGCCTGTTCCAGGCTCTCAAGATAGAAGAGATGACGCATAAGTGAAAGGCACGCGAAAAAATGAGCGCGTGATCTAGGAAAAGAGGGGTGGTGAAAGGCGTGGATCTAGGATAAATACTGACCGATTTCCTAAACAAGCGCCAACGGCGCAAGCTTCTTGAAGAGTCCGGGGTCATGCATCACCGTGAAATGCTCTGGATTTTAACTCCGTAACGTCACCCTTCCTGGATTTGTGGATTTCAGGATATTAGTCAGATTTTAACTTGAAAAGTTTTTTTCATTAAAAGTATATTTGTTTATGAAAAACCTGACCGATTTTCGTAAAACGGGGGAAACTGGTGTAGATTCGCGCCTGGGTGGTGGGAAAAAGGAAGCGAGAGAGTGCCTCCGCGGCCCTTCCTCTTCCCAGTTTCCTCCCGTTTTATTTTTGTGTCCGCGCTTTTTCAATTTCGCTGACCTGACTATCTCGGAGCCTGGAACAGGCTACAAGAAAATGTTTTTCGGCTAATTTAAACTCTTTTACTGCGTCAAACAGGTACGTTAAAAACAACGGCGGCATTGATACGGAGAATGGCTATCCCCACCCATGCAACAAATCCTGTTGTTTTGATAAATCCAAAGTAGGTGCAACTTGTACAGGTGAGAAAATGACGAAATGACTGGTACAGTCACACCTTTTGAGGATCATTAGTACTGTGCGTTCCAGGAAGTGTACCCATAGCCTCCGTTTAGTGACTTGTTCAAGGGGTGTAGATGGCGGGAATGCATGGTGAATTCCTTTTGTATCGGCTAGATCTCCATTTTCTCGCTCCTATGCATTGCCTCCTGCGAGCCCCTTCCTCGATGAATCTGACACCGGTACAAAAGACACTCCAACACCCGACGACCAGAAAGGTGTAAGACTAGGTCAAC